GGTTTGGCAACAGCATGTCCTTGGTTGGACAAAACAGCCTGAGGTGGCCAACTCTGTAGGAGGCCTTCTGCAGACAAGTAGAAATACAACCCCAAAGGTGCCCACACATGTCTGTGAGCAACCCGTCCCCAGAATATCAAGTACTTGGGTTCCTGCCACCCACACAGGGAGACCTGGATTGAATTCCCTGCTCCTGATTTGGCCCCAGTCCAGCCAGGCAGTTGCACACATTCGAGGGTTGAGAAGCCCAAGTTCCCACCTGCAGTGTCAGCATCACATATGGGCACCAGTTCAAGTCCAAGCTGCTCCACTTCTTATCCAACTCCATGCTAACGTGCCTGGGAATTAAGCGGAAGTTGGACCACTTGCTTGGACCCCACACACATCTGGAAGGAGCTCCTGGCTCCTGGCTTTGGCCTGACCCTGCCCTAGCTATTGGGGATTGACCCAGCAGCTCACAATCTCTCTCCCAGTATTTCTGTATCTTTCCCTTTCAAATAAATTCTTTTGAAACACTGCCAGAAGACAAGCCCCTGAATCAGTGCTTTGCTGAGAATTCACCACCATTTACTGTCCAGTTTCATTCCTGGCAAGTTATACCTTCTAGAAAAATGTCAGAAACCAAGTTCCCTGCCTCTTACAAACAAGGTTCACCTTGTTCCTGGTCTTCAATCACATCCATGCCTCATTTCCACTGCAGACCTCACCAGAATCCCCATTCCCATCCATAGCTCAGTGTGCATCTGAAAATGCCTCCAGTGGGGACCTGATCCCCAGGGGCAAAGCTGCTTCCATCCTTGCAGGATTCATTAGACCTGCACCTCAAGTCTCAGGATGATAATCTGTGTCTGGTGAGACCCTGCGAGGACTTATGGAATATGGACAGTTGTCCATGAAGCTCTGTGTCAGATGGGGTCTGGGATCACTTGCGGGCACTGAAGTCACCGTTGCTAAAGTCCTGTACATAAATGGGTAGCATTTGCATTGGACCAAATATTCTCCCATATGTTTTCAGTTGTCCCTAGATATCTTATAATACCTAAAGACACTACGACATAAATGGTATACTGTGCGTAGAAGAATTCAAGGGGAAAAACATGGTATATGGACAGTACAGATGCATTCTTTTTCAATTTTCAAAATGACTGTGAATGGAACCTGCACTTGTGGTCCCATGGATCCCAAGGGCATCATGGGATAAGGCACTGTGTCATGTGGTCATGTAGGTAGGAAGTCCCAAGACCTGTTGGCAGATGGCTGGCCTTCCAGGAGAGACACTTGGATTCTGGCCTGGAGTCAAGTGCAGGAATGGAAACATTCAAGGCAGCCAGGAGGTTTTCCCTGAATTTGTAGGCGTTTGGGGAGTGAACCAGTAGATGGAAGGTATTTCTCTCTCTCTCTCCACTCCAGCACCACCACCTCCCTCTCCCTTTTCTCCCACTGCTCATCCTCTGCCTCTTCATTGTAATGCTGCTTTTCAATAAACTTTTTTTTTTTCTAAAGAAGGCAGGTGCTGACATCGTGGGACCCTGGGTAAAGCCATCAATATGACAGCGGCTTCCATGTCAGAGTGCCTGGTTCAAGACCCAGCTGCTTCTAAGCCATATTTCCTGTAGTAATGGGAGGCAGCAGATGGCTCAAGTTGTTGGATTCCTTACTTCAGCCTGGTTTAGCCGTGGCTGCCGTAGGCATTTGAGATGTGATTCAGATGGAACATCTCTGTGTGTGTGTTTCATTCTATGTAGCTCTCCCTCTCTCTTATGTTTGCCTTGCAGATAAATAAATCAATATCTTTAAAAATTGGTAAACTTGGTTCTGGCACTGTGGTATAGTGGGCTACACTTCCACCTACAGTGCCTGCTTCCCATGTGGACTCTGGTTCAAGACCCGACTGTTCCTCTTCTGATTTGGCTCTCTGTTATAGCTTGAGAAAAGCAATCTACTTCATATATAAATAAAGAGAGAGAGAGAGAGATACAAGGGTAAAACATCGGCACACCCAATATGAGATGTAATGTATTATAACACTGAAATTAAAAAATCCAAGTGACAGAGAAAAAAATTCAATGGTATGGGCCAACAGGATATTTGCAATAACATTCCACGTTGGGGTGAGAATGCTTTTGAACTACAGAATGCCAGGATCCAGTCTTCAGGAAGAATTCTATTAGAAATCTAGTATTAGACTTGACTATAATAACTGACACAGGCATGAATGGTTAATGCATGGTAAAATTGTTAAAGGAAGGCCATTTTCAAACGGGAGATTTATACATCTTCCAAACAGCACTCTCCAAAGTGTTTTATTTCAACTCTGAAATTTTATTATCCAAAGTGTATGATTTTTACAGAACAAAAGTAAAAGCAGGTATCAAAATCAGCAAAGAGTTTGTAAAATTTCTGCAGAGAGTTTCACCTAAGTTAGGGCTGGTGAAAGTGGTATCCAAGGAAAAACCTAGATGACTGCTGATTTGTCTCTTGGCATAAATTAGCAGGCGGTTTGTTCTGGAGGTTCTGAATAACTTGTCATCATCAGTGGTCAGTTGTTGAGAACCAATTCGAGTTGTCAAACAAAGTAAAAAAAAAATTTTACATTTTTTTTTGTTGCATTGTGGCATTTTACTGAAGCGGCATTTATTTTTTTCTCCTTAGTAATTTCTTTTTGTTTTGAAATTTTTTCATTTCTTTTTAGCATTTTCTTATTTAGAAAGATAACTAACTGAAATGGCATTGTACGTTGTTTCCTTAGTATTGCTTTTTTTGTTTTAAGTTTGAAATTTTTGCAAAGTTGTTAAATTGTAATTATTTGGCATTTTCTCCATTAAATGAAACAGTGAATAGGAATGACATTTTACACTTGTTCTGAATAATTGTTTTTCTCTTTTGTCACTTGTAAAGTATAATCATTTTTCAATTTAAAATTTTTTAGCATTTTTGTATTTACAAAAACATTGAACTGAAATGGAATTTTACTTGTATTTGCTGAGTTTAAATTTTTTTTGAAATTTTAATTTATACATATTTCTAACTTTTTCCTATTTAAAAAGTTACTAAAATGAAGTGGCATTTTAATTTTCCTATTAGTATTTTCCTATTTTTGATTTTTATTGTTTTTAAAGTTTTTAAAATTATTAATTTTAATTTTTTCAGTATTTTACTTTCAAAAACACTTAAATGACATTTTTTCTAATTTTTTATTTTTAAATTTTTTAACAGTTTTTAAATTTTTTAAAATTTTTTTTCCTTTTTAAAAAACAATGCAGTACCATTTTTCTTTTCCATTTTCATTTAAATTTTTTTTTACTTTTAAAATTTTTGATTTTTTTTGGAATTTTTCTTTTTAAAAACACTTAACTAAAACAGGGAATATGTATTGGGATCTGAATCAAAATTTTTGAGATTCCAGTTACACTGCAGGACACTGGAGACTCTTCTGGGCCTGGACAGCTATATCTTAATGACAAGTTGTAGATTTTAGGAGCCCAAGATGTGCTGACAGGATGTCTAAGGCAGCTGTTACACTGAGAGGAGGCACACTCAGGTGGAAACATGATTCCCTCACTAGGATCCCAATTTTCATGAAAGGAAAACAATTGTGTCATCACAGGTATGACAGACAGTGGAAGTAAGAATGGCAGCTGTGAGAAACAGGTCCACCACAGGGCAGCGGTGCCATTGGCTCGGTTTGTTCTTGGACCAGGAGCACCTGCTAAGCAGCAGGTGTCCAGAATCTGCCAGGACTTGGTTTTCCATGATGGGGGGGGCAGGCATATGGCCCCTCCTCATCCTGCAGCTGCCTCAGCGCAGACACGCTGCTGTTGCTGGGCTCTGGATGCTTGCCACGTCTGCATCAGAGCCCCAGTCTCCTGCAACACTGAGTGGAGTTGGCAGGACCAGCAGCTGTAAGAGATGAGCGTCCTCGTGACGAGGTCCTGCCTGCATCTGTGCTGCCTGACTCTGGACGTGGAGAGAGGAGTGTTCAGAGAGGTGTCCAGTTCCTTGATGAAGGCTCAGTCCACCTCGCCCACCTGGGCCCTCCCGGCCACACTGCTGCATTCATCACCATGAACTTGCTGTTATCACGCCCATCGATGGCCACCTCCTGGGTTGATGACTGGACCTCCGCCAGGGCCGCTGCTCACTCCCTTTTTGCTCAGGCTCTGAGGGGTCACCCTCTCCACAGTTGTCAGGAACACAGAGGAAGGAGCGCATCTTTAGGATGTACAGATCAACAGACAGCTTTCACCCACTGACCGATGCCAGGGTCAGGGGACCTGATGGGCACACAAGATGTTCTCTGCCTCCTGCGGGGGTGTGGGAGGGAGCACACGGCACTCCCTGCATCGGGTGCTTGGCCAAAGAGTGAGGCTGAGTGTAAAATTGAGGAAAGCATCAGAGATCCTCAGGATGCAGACCCCGAGCCAGACACCTGGCCTGCGCCTTCACACAGCCAGCGTTCCCATCATGGAAGACAGCAGAAGGGGGAGATGGTTGGGGTTCAAAAGGAGGAAAGAGACCCTTCCTGTCCTTTTGAGCCCCAAAGTCTCCTCCTCCTGCTGTCCTCTATGTGGAACGTTGGCTGTGTGCAGGAGAGGGCCAGCTGTCTGGGTCAGGGCTCACGTCCTGCAGAGTCCGATCCTCTCCTCTGCTCACATGCAGCCTTGTGCGCAGGGCGCTGTGTCTCTGACACTGCCCACACTGAGCTCACCCCTTCCAAAGGCAGTGTGTGCCCAGGGTCCTATGCTGTGTGCTTCCAGCTCCTCCTGACCTCAGATCTCTACAGGAGGCAGTTGGAGAGGAGCCAGGTGGTGTTCTCTCCAGAGCAGCTGTGGAGTCAGGCCTGGGTCTCCTTAGGTGTTTACTCGGATTGGAGGTGGAAGACTGTGCCAGCTCTCAGGGAAGCAGCCTAGTGGATGAAAATAGCCGAGGGCAGTTCATGGTGTTGAAATTGCGTTCTTGGTGTTCTGGTTGCTGTTGAAGTGGAGCTCCTGTGGTAGATGTTTGGAAGAGGTGGGGATGTTACAATCAGCAATACTGTTCTGTCCTTCCAACTGTACTTGGGATCTGAAAGAGGGAGAGAAGAAAAAGTAAAGGAGAGCTGGGTCAGGTCCAGGTGAGAGCTGAGCCTGCATCTGGGCCTCAGTGGGGCAGAGGCCGGGCAAACTCAATTGCAGTGGGGAGACTGGCTGAAGGGGAGCCCTGGGCTTCTGAGAGGGAAGTGGCAGCCAAATGAGCAGATTCCTGCCCTGAACTCCAGCCCAGCTCTGCAGTGCTGGGGAACCAGGGCCCTTGGCCTCTCCTAACCAGGAGTGAGTGATGTTACCCCACTTCCTCCTGATCTCTGGTGCAATAGAAATGGATTAGTTTTCTGCAGTAAGCAAAGAGAGCTGGGAGTGTAACCACAGCACAACTCATAACAATAGAACAGACACCAAGTTTCTCTCAAGATGATTCCACATCTAGTTACACCTAGGACCATTCTGCTGTGTGCCTAATAGCTCACCCACTCAACTCTGAAGGGAGCATTAACTTAAAACAGACACTCTTTAGTCACCCTAGAGTTTCCCCATTTTTTTTCAGTTCCCCTAAGAAATTTTCTTTTTGAGAATATCCTGTTTGTATACTGGTCAGAGGGGAGGACAAACATGGGAGAATGAGACCTAAGAATCTGCATTGGAAATTGGCTTAGGCATAAAATCAGATAAAATGTGATTGTTCAATGTATATTTCTCAACCCAATAGAGGACTTGCAATCAAGTGAGTGGATGGTGAACAGCATGTTTTAGGGAGAGAAGTTCAACTGTAAACATTTTAACTTGATTATGAGGGGAGGTATCCTATTTTGTGGGTCAGGTTTCTACATGACAAGGATTTCTTACTGTATCTTCTATTTCCAATTATTGATCCAAACAGAGAGGTTACAGTTCTACCCTATCCGAACAAACAGAAATGAGCTATAATCTGATCCCAGTGTAAGAAGGAACAAGTACATCTAAGACACACACACAGGATTACCTCTGTCTAGGCGTGAAGGCCCAGGAATCTGAAGGTCAGTGCCCACATGTTGGTCTGTGGTTTTCCCTTCATCTCCTGGCCAGGAAATTGGCACGTGATTTTCCTCTCTGTGGGCTGTGGTTTGCCCTTCATCTCCAGGCCAGGGAACCTGCAGGCCAGTTTGCATTTCCTGGGCTTCCGTTTTCCTTTGATAACATTTTCTTTTGGGGTACTTGGGACATCACTGGGGCTGATGCTATGACTCTCACACTTGCTGGTGATGGGATCTTTGTGAGGACCTCCCTCCAGCTGGGAATGGGTCTTCCTCTCAGGGGCAGCAACAAAACTCAGTTCTGAAATAGAACCACAGCCATCAGGATTGGTATTCATGCTCTCTCTCTGGCAGTCAGGCCTGCAGCACAGGGACTACAAGTAAGGAAAGGGGCCCTGGACAGTCATGTCCGAAGTGGGAGTTGAAATCTGCACAGTCACTAAAATGTTTTCATTCAGGTTGATTTTATACATATTCATTGATAATTTATCACTAGGCAAAAGTAATAAACATCACTCAGATGATCACAATATTCAACAAAGTGGGACTAATAAAACACACAGCTCTTAAGCTTTTAGGGCACAGAAACCACACTGGGTATCTGTTGAAGGTTTGGGGGGATGGAGCAGGATCATCCAACCTGGAGGGCATTGTAATGAGAGACAAGGACAGGGGACCACTCACAGCTGGAATGGACAACACTAGCACAAGAACACATGCATTTCATACATGCACATGCTTTGCTGAACATACACCAAGCACATCGATTCATAGGATATAGGCCTTCAGTGCCTGTCATATAGATAATAATATACATGATGTGACCATCACTTTTCTGGTCAGTTGAAGTGGGAACCTAGTTACAGGCACCTGAAGAAGGGAGAGACAAGCTAAGGTGAAACACAAAAGTCAGGAAGAAATCCCAGGTGGGCTGTAAGGCATTGCTTTGGCCTAGCACACACATCTCCCTCCTGAGACAGTGTTGTGCACTTGCCTGCTTCCTCATGACTGCCCAGCCCTGGCACTGGGTGTTTCTGAGACAAAGCCACACAACCACTGGTCTGTGGCAAAGACAAGTTCAAGGCCTCACTGGGACCCTGAGTGCAAAAAGCCCGAGGGGAGAGAACAGGAACTTTCAGGCCATGGGGCACTCCTGAGCTAGAGCTATATCTGGAGCGCCACAATGAGCTGCTGACCCTGCTCAGGGATGAAGCACACCAACATCTTCCAAGTGGCAGATGTTGTGCAGGGACTTTAGATGTTCTTGTTTGCAGACCAGAACTTTTCTGTCCCCAAGGTAAATTCTCTCAACACAGTTTATTACAGAAGAAAAGCATGGATCATGATGGCACAGGGTCTAGCACAGCACAGATGCCCATGAGAGTAGCCTTCATAGCTGGGTGTGAATCGCTGTGACCTGGGATGACTCTGCACATCTCTGTACCTCTGTACAGAGGAAAAGCACATGGTCTCACCAAGAAAAGGTGCCTGCTGATCTATAGCACTGGGGGGAGAACTGTCACTGCCAATTCTACTGCAGAACACTGAGAAACATGGAAGGGCATCAGGATTTCATGATTTTCCTACAGAATGATTTGATGAGTGAAGGTTCCTCAAACCCTAAAGATTCCTGCAGAGAGAAAGTGTAAAAGTTCATTGAAGCTCAGATTGAAGGAAACTGGACTTTTTCTCTGCCCCTCCCCATGAACCCATACTCAACAAGAGGCACTCTGCTTGTGATGACATGAGGGACCCCTCAGCCTCACTCAGATACTGAATAGATTCCTGTCTTGGTGCAAGATTATGGAGGCTTTGCATGAGAAAAAAATGCCGAGTTTAGACACTGGATTAAAACTACAGACCTCATATGAGCACAAATCAGTGCTGTGAAGCAGAAGATGCAAACCACACCATGGACACAGGTGTGGGACTGGACTGCTGTGGTTAGCACCACGCTGCTTCAGAGAAAACAGAGTCTGCCGACCAAGGATACCCAGTATCAGATAACTAAGGAAACATTGTACAGACTGCCAAAGCTTTAAGCCTGAGAAGTTTGGAGGATGCTGTTTACAATTGCAACTGTTGTTAAAATTAAGAACATCACAGTGACTTGTTAAAAAGCCTCTCCAAGAGAGATGGTGGTGGCTTGGTGTTTGCCATCCTGAGTTCCCATCCCCTCTTTCCCTGTCTTGACGTCAAAGGTGCACTTTGAAAGTGGGCCTGGTGACATCCGAGAGATTCCCCCATTTGATGACTATGAACAAACTCCACCCAAGAGCCACATCCAGACTGAGATAAGTCCCCAGGGACTGAGTGCACAGTGGTCTGTCTCACCCAACACAGGTGCACCAACCCAAGACTACAGAGGCCACCTGGGAGACCAGTGGAGTGTTCCCTTTTCACAATGGATCACTCACTGTCTACAACAAGAGCAGAGCAGACAGGCTGTTTCTCCAGTGAGGACCAGGTGCTCCTAGAATGGGGCCAGTCAGAAGCTTCCGGAACAAGTGCAGGAGTCAAACGCGTACCGTGAGAGTCTTGTGAGACATCTTGATCTTCAATCTCTGGAATCTCCCTGATGAGACTGGAGGGAGGGAAAGGTGGGTGAGAAACATAGAGGGAACAGAAAGCCCCTTTCCAAGCTGTTCCTAAGAGGAGGCTTCCAGAAGTGGCTAGGCTGAGCAATGGGCCACCCACAACTTAGTCCCTATCTAGGAAAGACTGGCTTCTAATTCCCTAGTAGTCCATGCTACACTGTCTGCTCTGCCTCCGAGTTACCTTGAAGTGTATGTGACAACTTGCTCTTGTACCTCCACTTCGTGATATTGATTTTCTGCAAACAAATTCAGAGAGATTGACCAGGTTAAGCAGGTTTTCGGTCAGATATGGGTATCCAATGGCCACTACTACAAGGGGACAAATTGTTCTAGTGTGAGAACAGGAGACTGTGACAGAAATCCTCCAGGAGGACAAAATCAACATCAGGAGATGGCTTGTTGAGCCATCCTGGGCAAGGGGTCAAATCTCCCTGTTCACAGTTGGATCAGCATCTCAATAACCTCTGTCCAGAACCCTTAGAAACAGCCTGCAATGGTCCTCAGGGATTCTAAGCTCACAGCCCAAGAACTTCCTAGGAGGCAAACTGCAGTTGTCAGGCTGCTCTCATTAAAGGACCCAGGTTGCTGACTGTGAAGAGGAGGTAGAACACTGGGAGAGAGCTATGCATGGAGTCTGATGCCCTGGAATTGAAACCTGTTTGATGCCACACAGAATCTTGGCTATTCTAAGAGTTGCTCATGAATAATCTCCCTCTTGTCTATGGGAACAATACAAGCAATTCAAGAGCATGTATTTCTGGATGAACTCTTCCCTAGTGAATTCATCTTCAAATGGAAATGCCATTGAGAATATGAATGACAGAGATGCCTATATGGATGCTGTGGCCTGGACAAGCATGGATGTCAAAGGGCAGAGCTGAGGTTTGGGATTGAAGAAAAAGTAAGCAAGTGGCGACAGTGATCCTCCACGGTTCCCACCAGGAGGGAGCAAACACCACCGGGGCACATGCTGCTGAGCTTGCTGTGAAATGGTCACAGCTCTGTTCCATAACAAATAAACAATATGAATTCTAACTCCTGCTTACAGCTCAATTCAGGATTTTGAGTCTACAACCACAAGTCTGTAGGTCTGGCACGTAGCAATGACTTCACTCATCCTCAGTGGGGATAGGAGTACAAGGACGGAGCAGTCACCAGGGACAGAGATGAAGGTTTACCTGCTCTCAAAAGGGATCATTCTGTACATAAACTGCCCACCAATCTGCTCTGGCTTTCTGAGCATAAGCAGCTCCTGTATGCTTGCAGTCAGACATCCCAGGCACAACTGGAGCCTAGAAACGTTCATCCAGGGAACTCTGTTCTGTGAAACAGCAACCACTTTCGACAGAAATGCAGATGGGCATGCCTCACTGGGAGCCTGAGTGCAAAAAGTCCGAGGGGAGAGACCAGGAACTTTCAGGCCATTGGGCAATGCTGAGCTGGAGTTCTATCTGAGAACCTCAATGAGGTGCGGACCCTGCTCAGGGACGAAGCACACCGATGCCTTCCTAGTGGGAGATGTTTGCAGGAACTTTAGAAGTTCTTGTTTGCAGACCAGAACTTTTCTACTGATATTTGAGATTCTCTCAACACAATTTGTTACAGAAGAAAAGTTTTAAGTATGAATACCCATAGCAGCCACATCGCTGGCATGTCTGCTGAAAACAAGTGGACTGAGCCTACAGACAAGGGCCAGGCAAAGGAGTGGTCTCTGATTGCAACGCACACAAGGTGGGGTGACCTGGGAGAGTGACCTTGTTGAGCCTCAGGATCCTCTCCCCAAGGTGGGGACAGAATCTCCACCAGGAGAGGTCCAGTGAGGGTTGCATGGATGAGGACGGCACAGGGTGTAGCACAGTACAGATGCCCATGAGAGTGGCCTTCACAGCTGGGTGTGGATCGCTGTGTCCTGGGATGACTCTGCACATCTCTGTATGTCTCCACAGAGGAAAAGCACATGGTCTCACCAAGGAAAGGTGCCTGCTGATCTATAGCACTGGGGGGACAACTGTCATTGCCAATTCTACTCCAGAACACTGAGAAACAGGGAAGGGCATCAGGATTTCTTGCTTTTCCTACAGAATGATTTGATGAGTGAAGGTGCCTCAAACCCTAAAGATTCCTCCTGAAAGTGTAAAACCTCATCGAAGCTCAGATTCAAGGAAATTGGACTTTTTCTCTGCCCCCCAACCCCCATGAAGCAATACTCCAAGGCTCCTACTCAACAAGAGGCCCTCTGCCTGTGATGATGTGAGGGACCCCTCAGCCTCACTCAGATACTGAATAGATTCCTGTCCTGGTGCAAGGTTATGGAGGCTTTGCATGAGAATAAAATGCCAAGTTTAGACACTGGATTAAAACTACAGACCTCATATGAGCACAAATCAGTGCTGTGAAGCAGAAGATGAAAACCACACCATGGACACAGGTGCGGGACTGGACTGCTGTGGTTGGAACCAAGCTGCTTCAGAGAAAACAGTCTGCCGACCAAGGATACCTAGTATCAGATAACTAAGGAAACATTGTACAGACTGCCAAAGCTTTAAGCCTGAGAAGTTTGGAGGATGCTGTTTACAATTGCAACTGTTGCTAAAATTAAGAACATCACAGTGACTTGTTAAACAAGCCTCTCCAAGAGAGATGCTGGTGGCGCAGTGGTTGCCATCCTGCGTTCCCATCCCCTCCTTCCCTGTCTTGACGTCAAAAGCTGCACCTTGAAAGTGGGCCTGGTGACAGCCAAGGGATTCCCCCGTTTGATGACTATGAACAAACTCCACCCAAAAGCCACATCCAGACTGAGATAAGTGCCCAGGGCCTGAGTGCACAGTGGTCTGTCTCACCCAACACAGGTGCAGCAACCCAAGACTACAGAGGCCACCTGGGAGACCAATGGAGTGTTCCTGTTCACAATGGAGCACTCACTGTCTACAAGAGCAGAGCAGACAGGCTGTTTCTCCAGTGAGGACCAGGTGCTCCTAGAATGGGACCAGTCAGAAGCTTCCGGAAGAAGTGCAGGAGTCAAACACATACCGTGAGAGTCTTGTGAGACATCTTGATCTTCAATCTCTGGAATCTCCCTGATGAGACTGGAGGGAGGGAAAGGTGGGTGAGAAACATAGAGGGAACAGAAAGCCCCTTTCCAAGCTGTTCCAAAGAGGAGGCTTGCAGAAGAGGCTGGGCCGAGCAAGGGGCCACCCACAACTTTGTCCCTGTCTGGGGAAGACTGGCTACTAACGGTGTAGACAGGATGCAATGTCTTCCATTTGAGGAGGCTCCTTGCTGACCACCTGGAGTAGACGAACTGAACGTTAACACAGGCAGCTTTCATGTGAGGAAAAATGAAGTGCTCATAGGAAGCACGTGGCAAACAGAAAGCCAGGTGAAACAGAAACCCCACTGCCTTCACTGAGAATAGTAAGTATGTGTAGATATATAATATTTACACATGAATCAACTACAGCCAAATATTAAATTTTATTAAATCTATGTGTGCTTGTAGACTTCTTTATGCTTATTTGTACTGCTTGAAGTCAATGTAAAGTCAACAGGTAAACAGAACTCTCATCTTCTTGGAGAAAGAGTGTTAGGTTTGAGGTGTAAGTGAGTAGCAGAGATATTGAAAGGATATGGAGACAGAAGCAGAGAGAAACAGAGGATTTCCTCTGTGATGAGGTCGTTAGGGACTCAGCCTGGAGAAATGACTCTCAGTTGGTCCACTAGTACCCATGAGTATTTGGAAAATGAAAACTGGCTTCCACAGATTTATGTAAATTACATGCAGAGTCAATGAATTCCCCTTTTGGGATACTGGAGACTATCACGGCTTTAGCCGTCAGTCTTATTCTCAGTGCTGAGGCACTAGTTTCTGTCGGGTGATTTCACATGATGAATGGGGGGCAGAGAAGCTCATGAGAAGAGGAGACCTGTGAGCAGCACCCTGCCCTTCACTGCACGTGAGAGGCAATGATGGCAAGGAATCCCTGGAGAGGCTCCTTCATGGAGTCAGCCTGCTGCAGGTCACTACATGGAAAAGGTAGGGAGAAGTGGAAACCCAGACTGGTACCCTAATGATGGCAGACAGCAGTGCTGACGGGGTACCACTGGGTTGGCTCAATGGATGGGAGATGCACAGTGGCACTGCTCTTCTTCTCTGGACCTGGAGTCTGCCCGTGTCAGCACTAAGCTCGCTGCCCAGGGTTCCTAAGACTCACCTGGTGTGTGACAGGGCTTGTGTTTCCTCTTGCACTTCATCATTGTCATGTTTCTTTTCTGCAAATGAATTCAAATAGGCACAGTCATCCAGATTGATCCCCTCAAAGCCTGTACAATGCGCTGTCCAGCACTAGCACAGCACACCAGTATCCTCAGTGTCACTGCCGACTCCTCAGATAGGAATTGTCTAGAGGGTGGAGGTCATTTCTGAGGGAACTAGCTTGTTCATTTCTCTTGACACATGAGGTAAACCTCCCTATTCCTCCAGTCATCACACCAATAATCACTGACCTGATTCCCTACAGAAATGAAACAAATTTTCCCAAGTGTGGGTGCTGCGGCATAGCAGGTGAAGCTGCTGCCTTTAACCCCAGGATCCCATGTGAATGCCGGTTCAAGTCCTGGCTGTTCTACTTCTGGTCCAGATCCCTCTAATGTACCCGGGAATGCAGTAGAAGATGGTTCAGTACTTGGGCCCTGCACCCACATAGGAGACCTGGAGGAAACTCCTAGTTCCTCCCTGGGCCTGGTCCAGTCGATGCCATTGTGGCCATGTGGGGAGCAGACCAGAGTATGCAAGAGTTGCCCCTCTTTCTCTCTCTCTCTCCCTATTTCTCTCTCTAATTCTGCCTTTCAGAAGGTAAAATCAAATCTAAAATAATATTCTCTGGAGTCGCTTGGTTCCTAGTGTGATTCCTTTCCATGAGAGGAAGTGCAGTGCCCATGCTTCTCAAACAAGCTATCTTGGTATTTTGTGGTTTACCATATTTTGTGCATTGAGGATAAGATAAAAGGTGGAACAGGTGAATTTTCAGTTCTGGGTATCAGAGTGCATGTGTGCAGCACAAGAGAAAACTTGGCTACTCATGGAATCTCTAAGCACAGGTCTCAGACCTGCAGCCTGGGGACACACTACTAAAGGAATGGCAGAACATTCTTTACGTGTGGTAGGTGAAATGATGCCAACGTTGAAGGGACAGACAACGTGGTTGGGTTCAATGAAACAGGGGGAGTATCTTGACTGCAATGGAGATGAGCATGCTGCTGGCTCTGACAGGAAACAATGTCACATGACAGGGATGGGGAATGACTCGTGTGATCAACACTGCAGGGGGCAGAGGGGTCTGCTTCATTCAGAACAGACGGCAGAGACAAGCATGAGATGTGCTGCTTAGGTTGGTGTGCATCTGTGACATTCTTCTGGCAATGACTGAGCACTGGAATCTGAGTGACAAAGCCACACAAGGAATGGGAGGACAGCAAGGCTGGATGGGCCAACCACACCTGTGCAACAGACTGGTTGAAAAAGAACAGATGCTGGGAATGTCTCAGACCATCCCATGTCCAGGAGCCCTCTCAGTCAGGTGGGAGTGATGAGTGCAAGGATAGTGCGGGCTCCTTGGCAAGCAGAGGGGGTTGTATCACCTCACAGTGGGGGACTCACCATTTGCATCTGGAGCAGAGAGCATGTCCTGCTGCTCCAGGGAGCACCAGCTGCTCCACGTGGAATGGTCAAGCTCAGAAACGACTGGAGAAATCGAGGGAGTGAGGTAGCACTCGTCCAGTGAGTCATCTGGGTCTTCCTGCTCTTGCTCCTCTGGGAGCTCCCTGCTGAGATGGGAGGGCAGAGACACTGAAGACACGCATCACAGGTACAGAAGTGACTTTGTCATCAGACTACAGGTTAAAATATGTGAGGGATTTTCAAAGGGGGAATATAGAGGGAAACAATGCAAAAGGGAACATTATGAACAGAGCCATTTCATTATTGGCTGAATGTTCCAACTGGCTCTAGTCACCAGTTTCTCCAGCATTTCGATTCCCTAGTAGTCCATGCTACACTGTCTGCTCTGCCTCCGAGTTACCTGGAAGTGTGTGTGACAACTTGCTCTTGTATCTCCACTTCGTGATATTGATTTTCTGCAAACAAATTCAGAAAGATTGACCAGGTTAAGCAGGTTTTAGGTCAGATATGGGTATTCAATGGCCACTACTACCAAGGGGACAGATTGTTCTCATGTGAGAACAGGAGACTGTGACAGAAATCCTCCAGGAGGACTAAGTCAACATCAGGAGATGGGCTGGGTGAGCCATCCTGGGCAAGGGGTCAAATCTCCCTGTTCACAGTTGGATCAGCATCTCAATAACCTCTGCCCAGAACCCTTAGAAACTGCCTGCAATGGTCCTCAGGGATTCTAAGCTCACAGCCCAAGAACTTTCCAGGAGGCAAACTGTAGTCATCAGGCTGCTCTCATTAAAGGACCCAGGTTGCTGACTGTGGAGAGGAGGTAGAACACTGGGAGAGAGCTATGCATGGAGTCTGCATGCCCTGGAATTGAAACCTGTTTGATGCCACACAGAATCTTGGCTATTCTAAGAGCTGCTCATGAATAATCTCCCTCTTGTCTATGGGAACAATACAAGCAATTCAAGAGCTCTCTCCCCAGGCCCTTTAGGATTTATGTATCTAAAATCTAGGAGTGTTGCTATGTTACTGACTCATCCTATCAGACTGATCATGGTGAATAAGGGTAGAGGAGTTTCTATAGAAGGCTTAATGAACTCCATAACACCTCACATAAATAAATCTATGCAGTTATAGAGAAACATTGAGCACTGATTTTGTAGGGACGTTCCTGGATTCAGCTATGTTTTTTGAAATGTACAGGAAGTACAGTATAAAAGACTTTATGTCCTGGTTTTGAGATGATTGCATAGCTAAGATAAGCTGTCTTAAAGGAGATAGAGACTAGGGATGGAAGTAGGGAAACTAGGATCACAACCTGTCCTATACATGGGAAGTGTTACCAAAAGCCTGCATGGGGCTAGAACTCCAGGGATGCAGTAGTAGAACAGAATGATATCACTGCATGTGACAGCAGGCATTATTTCTAAGTTAGAGTGTCTGAAAGGCACTTCCTACACAGGGCCTCTGTATGTTCCCATAGGCTAGGGTACAGTGAGACAAACAGCCTCTGAGGGGAGGGAAGCTCCTGGACTCTCCTGATGTCTATGTTCAGTGCCACAACCTGGACCCTGATGGAAACCAACTTGTGTCTGCAGGGCCTGTGCTCAAAAGCAACCCTCCACCTGAGAGTCATTGTGTACAAAGAATGGAGAGGCTACCTGGGAGAACGGTGACAGGTTCTTCTTTCTTGTGTGAACAAGCATGTTCCCCATCTACACCTAGCACACCGTGGGTGTCCTCAGCATCAGGAGACATTTGCACAGTGCCCTCAGGCAGGCAGGAGTCACTCGGCAGGTGGTCAACAGCACCAGTGATAGATGTTTCCTGCTGTGAACTTTGTGGGGTTTCCATTTCATCCACTTCCAAGAGCTCCCTGAGAAGCCAGGTGGGATAAGGATGACAGAGATGAAACCAAGAAGGAAGAGACACTAGGGAGTTGGCTGGTTTGGATGGGGTGCATAAGGGATCGGTCACGGACAGCATAGAGGTGGTTCCCCCCACTCTGGACACCGTGTGGCTGCCTATGGGGAGAGGGCCTGGGAAGAGATCAACCTCTGCTCATCACACTCAATACACAGCAGCTAATGAGGAAGCAGCCTCCACTGTTGCTGCATGGCACAGTCACAGCACAAGCACACATTGACAGCCGCGCGGGCTGACACCCTGTGCTCAGGTTGGGTTGTTGCAGTGTCCTGCAGCCATGTGATCAAGGTCTTAGGGGCTTGGCAGATTCTAGAGATGTGCTACCTTCTGGGCCTTCTCTTAACCAAGTCACAGGACAGCAAACATGGTTTGTAGAAGTGCTTTTCTGCAGTTGAACCTGGCTGGATTCTTCCTAACTGCACCCTTTGCACATTGCCTCTTTGCTAGTTTTCTCTGATGAGAACTTCAGCTAACTCAGTAGAAAGCAGATGCGCATCTTTCTCGCTTTTCCAGAAAGCAGAGAACAGGGGTTCCTTTTGTGTGCAGGCAACACCTAAAGCTGTGAGTTCATGATGGATCCTATCAGCAACTAGGACCAGGACAACAGATAACTACTTTAACAGGGGGATTTCCTAGTTGGCAAGGAAGGACTCAACACAGTCTGCAGTTGTGTTTCTGCGTGTGTCTCAACTCCATGACTGTCTCGGCCCCTTTTCTATTCTTTAGGAGACCCTGTGCATCCTTGCCCATTTGTTGCCAGCTCCTAATCACTCACTATTACCTGTCAGCAACAGGTCCTTGTGCTGGTGTTTCCTCCTCTTCAATATTTTCTGTAAACAAATTCAGGAATGTCCAATCAGATATTATCACCCCCCCACTACAATCAAGGTGGCCTCTGTGTGCATATGAATATCTACATATGGGCAAACAGTGGACAAAAACTTCAAATGTTCTGTGTTTAAAGAAACACCTTGCCATTCTCTTGTGGTCCATCAGGTTTTGTGTCTCTGCACTTGGAGATCAGAACCATGGCAGATTCTGCCTGAAACTAGGCCAACATCCTTTGCTCCCATATCACTGGAAGCTTCTCAAGCTTCCCTGGGACTTCTGCCTGTTATCCCTCATCCTGCCACTAGTGGGAGTCCAAGGCATGGGTTCTATGTTCCCATGGGTCTCACAGAGAACCTCCATCTGTCAGGAAGAAGCAAAGAACCCGACTTCCATCCCTCCCTCACAGGCCCTCCACGTTTTCTCTGCTGTATCATTAGAGGAAATTCTCTCTGTGTTACGAGTCCCTTCTCAACAGCTTTCCTCACTGAAGTTCTACTAACTCTAGTGCCTGGTCTGGCACTCCCAGGGAGAGGAGGGCCTTTGTCCTATTGGGAAACATACAAGCAACAGCTTCCACCTTTGAAGGTTACATCTGCTCTGCCCCAGAGTTTTTGCTCCATTTAGTGAATGAGGAGAGAGAAATCCTGGATGGAGAAAGCAATCAGCTGTCTACCATTTGAAAACCACACTGAGCACAGAGCTGGAGGCTTCCATTCAACTTAGCTCAGTGACTGTGTTCAGCCTAACAGCGGCCTCACTTCACAAGGTCTTTCTGGTCTTGATATGAGGATGGACCCTGCCTCTTCCCCCAAAGGCCCACCACAATCAGGAAGGGAGGAGAGCTTTGGGATACTGCACACTTGAAAGACTTCTCTGCCCCTACCTGTTTTTCCCAAGCAGAGCTGACCTTGTCATGGCACACATGTTCAGTACCAAGAAGAGCTGAGGCAAATGCCCATGGCAGAGAGATGAATGCATCTGAACCCTGGAGGCTTCTCAGATGACAGCCTGTGCCCAGCTTACCTGCTCCAAGCAGGTCCTCAAGGCTCACTGACAGCCGGACAGCCTCAGTGAGCAGTCGTCGGAAGCCCTGCCCCGTACAGGTCTCAGGGTCATGCACGGTGAGCACGTCCTTCAGGTACTGCTGCAGGATGTGGTCTAGATTTCTCCCCCTTTGGACCTTTGGACGTAACTGGGAAAGTTCTTGGTCCTGATCTTCAAGGATGCCACGGCAATGCCTAAGGTGCAAGAGTGGAGAAAGTTCTAGATGGGAAGGGATGAGTGCTAAGTTCTCTGTGTTTCAACAGATTTTCATAACAATGCCTTATAGAGCCCTCAACCAGCAGCACCACTCAGGTTTGGAGAAGTACCTGTGCCGAGAAAAGCAAAGGGCAAAACAAGGCCTTGCTCCCACTTTTAGAGAAAGATCTTGTCACAATTCCTGAGGTTCCATTCGGTCATGTTCTATCAGAAGTGCAAGGATTCTTCCTTCCTCACCTTCATAAAGGTGCTAATTCAGTTCCTCCTTCCAGCCACAGGCATTTCCATGTAGGAAGACACACAGTGTACAGTGCAGTGACTGGGAATCATGGTGCACGCAGGGGTTACATGGCAAGAAACAAGAATGAAGGTCTGGCAGGGCCAAGCTAAGCATCAGTCTTCTACATCAGGAGGTGATGGTGAGTAAGGGTAAATGAGGATTGATTGCAAGATGACCAAACAGAGGAGCCCAGCATGCCCTCCACCTCCCCTGAGAAGACCCAATGCAGCTCCATCTCGAGGTGAGTGCCCACAGAAAAGCACCTCCACACTAAGGGAACCATGAGAACACGGGAGGAAGAGAGAACAGGCATAGCACCACCTACAGAGGACCAAAGCTAACTGGTGACTGGATTCCCAGAAACACAGCCACGGGGATCTCCTGTTGCAGAAGAGAGAGTAAACAGGAGGGCCCCCTGGGAGCCCATCCAGCTGGACACCTTACTTACAGACTCTCCGCACTTGCAGCTCTGAATTCAGATTCCTCTGCTCCCTCCTTGTTTCATAACATCTGAGACACGGGGCTTTGCTGTAACTCTCTGCCCTTGTTTGGCACAGGCTGGCTCAGTTTTTGATTTGGGCTCCCACTAGTGAAACACATCCCCACCTGCCTGCCCTACACAGAGAGCCTCACCTGAGCAGCTCAGCAGACCTCGGCTGCTTTGCCAGGGGCTCTCCACGTGTAGCTTCTTGGTCAACATGGACTCCATGATGTCTTTTTTTATTATTATTATCTATTCATACCATTTTATTTGGGAAATAAACAGTAATTGAGGAAGGAAAAATGTATTTTCATTTTAATTTCTCCTGAAGGGAGAATTTTTTCAAAGTACCTATTCACTTTTACTTTCATTGTAAAATGAATTTTTACCATTTCTTTTAAAAAATTTATTCATTCATTTATTTTAAGGAATATACATTTCATAATACAGCTTTAGGTATATAGTTATTCTTCTCCCCATACCCAGGGTACCACCCACACTCCCAGCCCAGCTCCTCTTCCCTCTCTACTTCTCAATCTCATTCTCCATTACGATGCATTTTCAATGAACTTTGGACACAGAAGACCAACTCTATATTGAGTAACGATTTCAACAATTCCCACAAACACACCCACACAAGAATAAAAACTGGTTGAGAAATGTTGCACTGTAACTCTCTTTTAATACAACTCATGGAGGACAGAGGTCCTGCATGGGGAGTCAGTGCACAGTGACTCCTGCTGTTAATTTAACAAGTAGCACTCCTCTGTATGTTGTCAGGGACCACACAAGGCTCATGACATGAGCTGACTAGGCTATGGAAGCATTTTGAAAACTCTGTCCGTATTTAGACAAGGCCATCAGCAAAGTGGAAGTTCTCTCCTCCTCCCTTAGAGAAAAGTGCATCCTCCGTTGATGGCCACTTCTTTGGGGTCCCACAGTGATCCTACATGGAGAACATTGTTTGCCACAGTGCCTTCATGGCTTTCCATGCCTGAGATGCCTCAGTTCTCCCTTCTGAGCTGCCCCACCGGAGATACCCACACACCTCCCCACCTGCCTGCCCCACACAGAGACCCTTACCTGAGCAGCTCTGGGACCGTGGGCTTCTCTGCCAGCGGCTCCTCAAGATGGAGCTTTTTGGTCAGTATGGACTCAATGATGTTTTTAAACTTCTCACAATCTGGGGAAAGACAGACACGCAGAATTCAGGGAGCTGCTTTTGTAGTCAGTGCCTGCTGAAGACCAAAAGAACTCCAGGGCCAGGCTCCAGATTGGGGGTTTCTCATCTTTATTTCATCACCTCAATACATAGCATCTGATATTTCCTATTTTTAAAAGATTTATTTCTGTATTCGAAAGGCAGAGTTACAGAGAGACATAGGCAGAGAGAGAGAGAGAGAGAGAGAGAGAGACTCTATCAGCTGGTTCACTGCCCAAATGGCTGCAAGGTTGGAGCCGCCCCAATCTGAAGCCAGGAGCCAAGAGCTGTTTCTAGGTCTCCCATATGGATGCTGGGGCCTAAGCATGTGAGTTATCTTCTACTGCTTTTTAGGCCATAGCAGAGAGTTGGATTGGTAGTGGACCAGCCAGAATTGAACTAGTACCCATATGGGATGCCAGCACTGCAGGCAGCGGCTTTACCTGCTGAACCACAGCACTGACCCTGCTATTTCCCAGTAAAATGAGAAAAAAGGACTTCAAAGATACAGAAGGTGACTTGACAAGGTGATTCCACTGGTGTTTACAGAATCAGAGTTCCCAGCCCCTGAGCTCAGACTGAATCATGAGCCACTGGACTCAGCAAGCCTTGCAGCCTCTCAGGTCAAACAGGAACTTGGGGCATGAAGTCGTCACCTTCTGTATATTTGGGAGCTTGATAAGGGTGTAGGACTGTTTCCTTGCATTGGGAAAGATTTCAAGTGTTTGTTATTTCAGACTTAAGGGACCATCTTTCATGGAACTGTGTAGAATACAATGTATAACAAAGTAAGGCCCTGAGGCAATATGGCCCAAGAAAAAGTATAGTTCCTGCTAAATTAGAAACAGTGCAATAAGGGCCTCATGGATTCTGTTGATCTTGAGCAAGGAACCATCCTTGGAGTTGTATAGGAAAGAAGGAGCACATATTGTTGTGACAATCTACAGAGGCAGGAATTATGATAGCACCTATGAATGGGAGAGAAATCGAAGCTACAGAGAAGGTGGGCAGTGGGGAGCACCCAGGTGAGTGGGCCTGATTCCCCCCCTACACCCTGTGCTCCCACTCCCAGGTCTCAGGCAGCGTCTTCCTCTTCTGGAAGAAGAACTTGTGCTCCAGGAGCAGGACTTTCTCCCAGTGGGGAGGCTGTGTTGTGAGGGTGTTCCCATGGATACCAGAGTTCCAGTGCACAGGAGACTGTCTCTCTAGAAGCACATCCTGCTCACTCTGAACACATGTCCACTCCTGACCTAGGACAGTGCTTTGCCAATGGGAACTCAACGGAAGCTTGAATTGAGTGAAATGCGTTAGCCCCAGAAATGAGGCCCACAGTGATGGTATAAGGCTGCAGGAGCTGACACAGACAGGATGATCATAAACATGCACTCAATATGGTGGAGCCTGACCCTGAGGACAACAGGCAGCTCGATGCCTCAACAGGAATCCATGAAAGATTCAGCACTCCTGTCACCCTACACCTCACTGCTACCTTGGAAAACTTGCGAAACCCTGTGTGTCAGCTTGGGAGTGTGGTCAGGAGGAAATTAAGTGCAGCAAAAAGAAGACAAAAATCACGTAGTGAGGCCATCTGGTGCCTCAGGAGGAGATACAGGACAATCATCACTGTGGTGAAATGACCCGAGAGACTTACTGTATTTTTTCAGCTCCTTGGCCAGGGCAAAGTTTGTAGCCTCAGCTATGAGAAACTTCTCCTGGAGCTCCCAGCAGTCCTGTTGGCTCTTTGCCAGCTGGGATCTCAATTGCTGGCATTCGAGGTCATTCAGTTCTGCCACGGGATCTGAGGCAGGGCTGTGGGATCCTGCCATGCTGATGGTGTGTCACAGCAGGACAACAGGGACTGGGGAGAGGAAACCCAAACACAGGTGAGGGTCAAACAAATGACATCCAAGAGTTTCAGGTAGGCTTGAGGGGTGACAATAACAGTCAAGCTTCACTTACTGATGTGAAACACCTGATCCACAGCCCGACAACACTGGGAAGTTCTTCACTGCACAAACAAGGATAAGACTGCCAAAGCCTAGATTGAAGGCACTGCCTGTAGCTCAGTCTCTGCTAGGACTGGCTGTTGTGTGGCAGCTAACGGTCTGCCGTTGCCATCACAGAATTAGAAGGTGGAGGGCGTCACGGAATCTTTGGAACTCTGCCTTCCAGGGGCCTAAGCTAGGTTGAGGCACAAGACCCCCACTGGTGGGGACAACCTACCCATCTGCCAGTCTCATAGTTATAGATCCTGCACTGACACCACAGACCCTGTCCCCAAATCACCTAAGCATGTATCGTTCATATAGTCATGCAGGTGTATGAAAATACCAAGGCAGAAAATGTGTCCCAACAAGCCTTCCTTTCTCAGTGCTGTTAGGAAGTCACCACACCTGCTGATTAAGAGATCACAAGGCTTTTCTACCTGTTTGAAATGTTGAGTTTAAAGTTTCCATGATACATGGCTCATTTCATTTTTCTGAATGAAATTTTGAGAGCTCTTTTAGTTGTCTGACAAGAATTGTTATATCAAGTATGTAATTTCAAAATGTTTTCTCCCTGTGTTGGCCTGTATAGCTATTCATCTTCTTATCAATGACTTTGAACAGGAAATTTGAACATGTTGGGACATTTATGAATTTATTCTTTTATTACGTGTAGTTTGGGTATAATACCTAAAAAATGTAATCTCATTCAAGTTGAAAGACTTTGTACTAGTTTTTCTTCTAAGAGGTTGAAATTGGCACAAGTGTTTGGCACAGCAGTTAAGATGCCACCTGGGATGCCCACACCTGGATCGGAGTGCCTGGGACCGAGTCCTTGCTTTGCTCTCCCCTCCAGCTTCCTGGTAGTGCACACACGGTGAGGCAGCAGTGACAGCTCCAGTACTTGTGTCACTGCAGTCTATGTGGGAGATCCTGATGGACCCAGTCCTAGTTTCAGCCTGGCCAGGCCCAGGTTAGCTCAGGCCTCCTAGGTTCACACCAGTCAATAGGAGATCTCTTTTCTCTGTCTTTTTGCCCTTTGAATAAAACAAGTAACTTAGAAGATGAAACATTTTATGAAAATGAAAATGTTTTTTGTTTAATTATACTTATTTGAGATGTAGAGATCCAGGTGTAGAGAGACATACACACAGAGAAACACAACCAAGGCTATGTGTTCCATCACTATTTCAGTCCCCAAATGCATGCAACAGTCAGGCTTGGCCAGGCTGACACTTGGTGTCCAGAACTCCAATTTGTTCTGCCAATGTGTGGGAAGAACCTAATGCTTTTTTATACTATATTTATATATAATTATTGCAACTAACTTTATAATGATGGCAAACTTATTTTGAGGCATATGGGTGCTACATATTTGAAGTAGTTTTTTAAATTAACTTCTTCATTTAATGTTGCATCTATGGCATAAATGCAGCATTAATAACATAGTCCTTCTTCCCACCTACCTGCCCTCCCACCTATTCTGCTCCTCTTCCTCCTCCAACTCTCCTGTTTAGTCTGAGAAAGAAAAAAAGACAGAATGGAACAAGAAATCTAAGAGAACTGTTACTCAACAGCCTAGCAAAGGGCTGTCCAAGGTTACTGCTTCTCAAAGGTTATTTCACTTTTTGCCCCCTTCTGCTCTTACCTTCCTTCCTCCCCCTTCTTTCCTTTTAGAAACTTAATTGTCTTCAAAGAAGAACCCACGGGTGATACATCTGCTGTGAGCTCTTAGACAGAACTATAACCTATGAGACATGAGAATATCCTCCATTTAATGCACTAAAAGGAAGTGATTCTGGAGAACAGTTCTACTATTAAGTCCCTTGATACAGCTTTGAGGACAGAGGGCAGTGCACAGTGGCTCTCACTGTGTCTTTAACAAATCACACTCTTATGTCTGACCTCAGTGCTCACCCAGGGCGCTTGACAGGAGCTGCCTCAGCTACAGAAGCCTTCTGGATCCACATAGCTCAACAAGGCCACAAGCAAAGAGGAAGCTCTCTCCTCCCTTCAGGGAATGTGCATCCTTCATAGTGGCCACTTCTTTCCACTTCAGTCTCACCCACAGGATAGAATGCTCCACGAATAACTCAGATTCTCGTGCTTTACTTCAGAACCCTAGATTTAGTTCTTCTCTATAACTACTCCTTTGTACTCTTGGGTCAACATCTCTCTATTCTTCCCACCAGACTCCACCACCTTGATGACCTCTCTCTCATTCTGTATCGACATATTCAACAATTTTCCTTTTTTTCTTTCAGACACCACACATAAGAGACTTCATGCAGTGTTATTATTTCTATATCTGGTTTATTTCACTCACCATAATGTCCTCCAATTTCATCCAGTTTCTCACAAATGACAGGAGTTCCTTTATCTTTGAGTTGAACAGCATTCCATCATATAAATATGTATAGTTAAGTATAATCATACATCTATCATGTATAATGCATTGTTACACATTATATGTATATAAATATCTATACACCGAAATGCATAAGAGGGATCAAACTCTTCAAGTGATTCCAAAGTGTCATGGAAAATCTGTAGTATCCTTTTATTAAAATACACTTTTCAAGCCATATATATAGCCAGCAAGATTTCTTAACCTACCATCTGTTGATGGACATGTAGGCAGTTTGCATCTTGGCCTCAGTGAATAAGGCATCAACTAGGGATTGCAGATATCTCTACTAAATGCTGATACGGTTTTTTGTTTCTTTTTTCTTTGCATATATACACATAAGGAGGATGAATGGGTCATTTGACAGTTCTAGTTTAATGTTTCAAAAATATTTCAATAGTGTTTTCTATAATGGCCATACCACTCAACATTCTCACACATAATGTAAAAGTGTTTCCTTTTCGGTACACCCTTGCCCACATTTATTCTCTCTTGTCTTTGTGACAGCAGCTGACCATATGGTTCTGAGGGGATATCCCTCTGGGGTTTGGAATGGTGTTTCCCTGATGAGTACTGATAATGGGCAACTTTTCATAAACCTGGTAGCAATGCGCATTCCTTTCATGGAGTAATGTCTACTCAGGTCCTTTGCCAATTTCTCAGATGAATGATTAGTTATGTTGGCTACTGAGCTGTGAGTGCTTTCACACTATAGCACAGAGAAAGCAAAAGCATTGTGAACAGTGTACATAGGTTTGGCCCCATGTGGGGATCATGGGGATCCTTACTCTGGGGCCGTGGGACTGCACCACTGCCATTTTAGGATTGTGCAGTGTGTTGCATGGCGGAATGGAGCATGGCTGGGAAAATGTACCTAGCTGAAGAGGGCAGGAAGGGTGTGGTCTCTCTCTCTCTCTCTTTTTTTTTTTGGTGGCGACACTGAAGTTACCAGGATCTCTAGTTTGCATGGAAAGCTTTTGTTCAGCATAAGCCTGCTCTGATTCCATCCAGGGATCTCCCTGGCCAGGCGCACAGGTTCACTGTGGAGTCAGTTTCTCTCCTGACCTCAGTGCTCATGGAAGGTGGCTCCTTCAGGGGCTGGACAGTGGAGCAGGCCTTTCTGAGTGTCCCCTGAGGTTTCCGACACAATGTGTCCTTCATCTCACCCACACTTGCTTTCACCCTAACATTACCTTGTCACTCTCTGGGTCATTCTCATGTCCCAGAGAGCTGCTCATCTGCCTTCATCTGCACCTTCAGTTCTGGGTTCTCCGGATGTGGACTCAGCTCCAGATCTGGGAGGAGACACAGAGGAGGGACCAGGTCAGCTCTCAGCCTCAGTTCCCAGGGCACGTGTGGTTCCCCAGGGACTCCGAGGAACCTAAGCAGCAGGACCTCAGAGAGGAACAATGCACACTTTACCTCACTGATGAGGAACCTGAGGTCCATAGCGACTAAGAGGTTGTCTCAGCACCACAGCACCTGATGGAAGGAGGGCCACCCCATGAGCTCTGACCTCCAGCTTCCCTGTGCCGAGCATGGCTCTTGTCTTCCAAGAATGCATTGTTGGCTTTTGTGGACTTTGGATAAAGCACTGCTATTTCTGCTGCTAAAAACAAACAAACAAACAAAAGTATGAGGGCCATTCCTTGGACATAGCTTTTCCCACATTTCTATTGTCCCATTATTTACTCTCTGTCTGTTTTCAATCACTGGGTGATAGAATGGGAGCAGAGAACAGACAAGGTGAATGAGTATTTAACACAGCCCTGCCTGTCCTGTGTGGGTCCTTCCTCCGGAATTCTCCCTCAGGCCTTCTCCTCTGCTGCAATGCTGGAGAGTGTCAGGCCTCGTGGAGGTCATTTCCGTATGGAGACCCATGTTCTTCTTTTTGTCTCCTGGAGCCAGGGAGAGTAGAGATTCATTCTGGACCTCTGTGGACCCAGCTTTTCTGCTAGGCAATGCTGCCAGTTTCAAAGACAAAAAATTAAAAACCACATTGACCAATGGAAATCAGGTTAAGAAAGATTTTCCAGAGGTGCCTGAGATCGTGAGAACAGCCCCTGGTAGAAAGTGGTCAGAGCCAAGCATGGGGCATTGGCAGGCTGACTCAGGTAAGGCAGATGCACAAAACAACCAAGAGAAGGCTGCTGACACCAGGAAGAGGACACACATCAGAGGAGTGTGAGAAGAAAGGACGATTACTGGCACCAATGAAGATGGAAGTATTGCAGACTGAGTCCCAGAGGCAAGGCCCCACGTCACAGAGGATTAGTCTTCAGCCTTGAACCCCATCCCAGGAAGTCCTTGGGATTTACCAGGAGCCAGGAACTCTGCCAGGTCTCCCACGTGGGTGCAGGGACCCAAGGACTAGGGCCATCATCTACTGTGTTCCCAGTCCCCAGCAGAGAGCTGCATAGCCAGTGGAGCAGCCCCCATGGAGGCTGCCTATGCAGACTGGGGCTCTAACTCGCTGTGCCACCTGGCTGCTGGACCCTGCCCTTCTGTGCACGCCCTGTCCCCCCCATCCCACACTGCAGCTCCTGGGCTCCTCTCCTTAGTGTGACTGCGCCAGCTCCAGAGCCTCTGAGCCCAAGACAGTGCGGGATGACCTGCAGCCACCTTAACCTCACTTCCTTAACTGCACTTTAACCCTCAGAGACTTCTGCAGGCAACTAAGTTATAA